TCATGGTACCCGCTGCGCCCTGGAAGTTCAATTTACCCTGCCGCAAATTAGAGGCGTTCTTGAGGGTGCGCACCCCGTTGGCCTGCTTTGGGGAGGGGGGCCTAGCATTGGGGGAGGCAACGGCAGCGGCCGCCTGGGAAGGAACACTTGGCAACGTAACCTTGCGTTTTTTCGAATTGACCGCAACTGTCACGTCGGCAGTTTCGAGACCTTCAACGTCATTTGTGTTCAGCGAGCCATTAACTTCCGGGAAGGACTTCGAGTGCACGCGTTTCCGAGCTGCAGTCGTGACTACATAACACAGAAGCGAGACAGAGAGAGTTTAATAAGGCGGTCACGCTCAAAATTGAGTTAGATTAACTCAAATCAACACGGTGTGCAGTTTTTAAGACATGCTATCTCCGAAATAAAGGTGAACAAAACCATGGCGTTGAGAGGAGGCGGGTTAACTAACGTCATTCAAGTCATGATTTCTTAGACAGCTGGCAATGCCAAGTTAGAAAATGCCCAGGCGCCTTTCATTCGTGTAATTTGTGTTTGTCCTAGACTGTTCGAACACACATCATGCTCATCTTATTATAAGCAAGCAAGGGTCGTCATTGGAGAAAAAAGGTACATAGATAGACTTTAAGAAGTCATAAAATCCTGCTTTTCTACTACGATGTTCTTGTCCGTAATGTCAGGTAGTTCGCAGGATAGCTTCTTTTTTGACAACAACAAGCTTGCATTTCCAAGACAGATGAGAGAGCCACCTTTAAGGTGTATGCCAATAAATACGGCATTTACCGATTGATCCCAAAATCCAAAAATATTACACCTAAAAAGCAAAGAAGATCAAATGTGCCAAAGACCTGGACAAACACTAAGAGCTGCACATTTTAAAGATCGTCTAGCCCAGAAAAGTTTGCAGAATTATCGGAGCCATACAATCGCATCGGTCGGCATATTCGTTTTGATGTTTCGCTCAAAAAAAATACGGGAAAGGGCCGTCAACGCACACAGGATGATGGCTTAAAACTGGCGGTCGTGGATGCAAACTGTAACTAATGTACTCGCTGAACAATAAAAGGGAAAAAAACTGAACATAACTGACAGATATAAAATTAACTGCTTCAGGTTTATTACGCTCAACAGCTGGTCATATAACCGATTTACTTACACACATTCCAAGAGTTTGAGCAGGTCAGGCAAAGAGACGGTTAATTTGACTAAGATTTTAAATCACAAACATGCATTCGTATAAGCTTAAAGAAAAACATATAAAGAAATATGGTGGAAGATAAGGAAGGCCTCCAAGAAACTTATTAATAACATTCTGCAAATTTTTGACGATGGCTGCCAAGGACGAACGTGTGAAATAATTAACGTTTGTGAATGTGTTAAAATAAAGAACTGGAAAAGACAGCAGTCGATACATATGACAGTAAAGCATAAAATGACCGCTCATTAGCGAACAAGATAAACAATTATTGACCCCTTCGACGCTTTTGGTAAGCTGATGACAACTAATAGGCCAGAAATTGACATTCCAGTCTTTGTCTGTAGTGATTCTGTTTAGCATACTAGCCGCTCTAAGGCTACTGGTGGGGTTCGAGAGACAACAGCACGAGAATGTCCCGTAAAGCGATTGGTAAACGCCCTAATACTACCGTTACTATATCCAACCGCAAACGGCAGAACAATGATCACGTGGTTAAATGATTAGGGTGGTGGACTTCTTACCAACAGATCGTGGATTCGAGCCCCGCTTGAATCTACCACCAGGGCAATCGCAGAGACAAGATGAACTACCTAGACCTCGAATCTTCACACAGACACACATATGGAAGTACGGTGTTCACCGATCTATCTGATTGGGGAATATACGTGTCCCGCTGTGCCTTGAGGTTCGTTCTAGAGTGATGACAGACAGTCGCTTAGCGACTTCAGACATATGATTGAGTGAAACCGACAAAGACAAGGGAGACAGGAATGGCCATTTCTGGCTTATTAGCCGTCATCAGCTAGTCCTACCCAATCCCAGGTGTGGATCACCTGGGATTGCAATGATAATGTTAAACTCGATGACTAAAGGTCCAGGGTTCGAATCTTGGGTGATCCGCGCCTGGGATTCGGCATGACTGGTTGATGATGACTAATAAGCCAGAAGTGATAAGTCTGGTCTCCCTTGTCTTTGTCGGTTCCACTTCACACATATACATATGCGCACGCATTTAAACATTTACAACTCACCTGGAGCCGTGTCTGATGACGGGGTCTCAGAGGCGGAGAGTTGATTAGCGGCGGGAGCGGCCGGAATTTCCAGTTCGTTCGGGTCCGCTAACTGGGATTTTGGCTGCTCGTCCTCCTCATCTAGATCCACCTGAGGAGCAGAGGAGGAGGGAACGCTGGGGACTTCTTTGGGAGTCATGGTGGACTTTGCGGCGCTCTTCCTCGTCTGCCTTGTTGCCTTTTCCGTCCGTTTGGGCCTTTTCTTTTTCGAAAGGGCAGCGGTCGCAGCATCTGACAACCCCTCCTGTTGTGTCGCTGCTGCTTCCTCCTTTGAGTCGCCGCCGTCCTCCCCGGCCGTCGTATGTGGCGCAGTGCCGGCCTTGTG